AAAAAAAAAAAAAAAAAGCTTTAGAAATTTGATATTTTGGTATTTTAGAAGAAGCGCATATCCAAAATAACAAAAGACATTACTTGACTCCACATGCATATAAAGTTGCCAATTTTAGCTTTCAAACATAATCCGATTCTAGGTGACTCCAGAAACCAAAATGCGAATGATTTCGATTATCATATATTACCTTTCTTTTCATTTCACAAAATTTGCAACCAGATGTGGATGGAGGTAGCAGCTGATTCACTATAAGTTTTTGAACTGGAACTTTTTCTTTCCTCAAGGATGCACAGAGTCTTGAGGACTCCCTTAGTGCCATCATCTGCAACAAATCACACCAGAAAAATGCCACATTCACATAACAAGGCTCCTTAGAATTTTAGAATCACTCTTGAATTTTTCACAAACAAACTAATATGTAGCTCATGCGATGCACGGGGTGTAATGATAAACCGTATAATTAAATCATTGAATCTAAATAAAAATATTATATAATATTTATTTTAGCTGTACATATAATTCACTTTTATATTCATTAAATATAATAGCTTAACATTTGATTTATGTGTGTATTCTATCAGTTTTATAATAAGTGTCAAGATTTTCTCAAACACTTCATATCTCATCATATATGAAAAAAACATTTACCGCATAAAGTTTGCAACATTTAATAACATCAATTAACATAATTGAGGACATTTAGGTAGTAGTTATTAATAATAATATACAAATCGAAGTTGATATCAAATGGATTGCATGTACATCAAAATTATGGATAAGGCAAATCATGGAAGAGGTTTTAATGATATTGGCCTAATAATTAGGAATTCTATGATTTTATACACTAAGATAAGGTAATATAACTTAAGTAGAGAAAGTTAACTAGTTATGTATGATTTCTAGTAACAATTGCTGACCTAAACTCAGAAATCCGAGAAGGTATTAAGATAAGTAGAACATGTCAATTAGTTGTTTATTATATCATTCGAATAATAAAAGAAATCTAATTGAATTTGTATGTGTATCAAAATCATCGATATTTATAATTTATTTAAATAAAAAGGTTAAAAAGTAAAAATAATTACTATACATTCTCTTTCAATAATTATTTATATAGGCAAAACGTTCTTAATAATTAGTAACAATTTCTCAGTGGAAAACTTCCGGCATTTTTTTTGTACATTCGCTACTTTTATATAACGATAGCCCACCAACAATTAGTTACTGTGTGTGATTATGTATAAGTGGGTTGACACCTTCAATCTTTGAACTATCTTTGAGGTGAGTTCTACACACGATCATTTATCATGGTATTTGAGCACCCAAGTACAAGTTTGTTTGTTTGAAGGCTATGCTCTATTTGGGACCCAACCCATTTGGATTGCACGACGCGTGAGGGAAAGTAGTCAGAGTTATGTTTGTTCCACATCGATTAGCTATTGGGATGTTATTGCGTACAGGTATGGGTTGGGCACTCACTAAGCTAGCTTTTGGAGATGGCCTTTATCCATACCCATTTATCAGATATAAATATAAAGAAGAGGGTCTATAAATGAATTTCCTTCCAAAATATCCATACTAACTTAAGTGATAATTTTTCTATCAATTTAGTGTTTTTGTTATAATGGAACACTCACATATTAACTCATATGCATAATTGAGTTTATACGCAAATTATACTTGAAAAGCATAATGCAAATTCTTATTACCGTGGGAATTGTTACTATAACAAATTCTGTAGTCCTCGTGTCACGGAAAAGATCTCGCACTTTTGCCATCCTTTCCCTTAGCTGCTCTAGCTTGTCACTCTACAAAAATTCAAGGAATCACAAACGTTGCAGTTTAGAACTATAAACCTTAATTTGGTAGATATATTGTGCCCGATCAGATAGAAACCAATTTGGACTCATAATTTTCAACATTGCATGTACTTTGCATTTTGATTTCAATAGTCCAACTATGCATGTTTTCTAACAGTATTATTATGCATGTCCAACATCACTAATGTTAGGTGACACTATTGGGGCATTTCTTCAACTTAATCTCATTTTTACTTAAGGATCCATTCTAAACCTAACCTAACTCAAATAATTTACACTAAAAAATACAATATACTCTATATTGAACACTTAGAGGACATAATTCCAAAGAAACTAAATGAACAGAAAATCATACTCACGTTATCTTGTTGTGGCTCTCCTTTTCCAAAAGCCGACTTTATGGCTGAAGTTGCTGAAGCTATCTTCTTCTTGAGCTGAACCAAACCATACAATATACATCATCAAATTAGTAAACACATAGAAACCTAAAAGAAGACGATGAACAATATTTCTGTTGTGAAAGATAAACAGAGTTGGTCAATTAGTACAAAATTACTCTCTGACATTGAGTCCCAATCAATTAAGGATAGATGTATGAAAACTAAAACATAGGCATCTACAGACTGCATGCATTTAGACCTACAAATAATGTTTGAAGATACAAAAAATGGAATTACCGAATTAAGAATTTTCGAAATTCCAACATTCTTCGAGACATTCAACAGTTAGACGCTTTTCTTTTCAACTTGTAACCAAAAGGTGTAATCATTTAACGCTATCTTGAAAAACTACCTCATTACCCTAATAGGTCACGATATTTGTTTGTCACAAGAGTGAACCCACCTTCATCATCTTGCCGATAGAAGAATCCAGGAAATCTGGCAGTGACAGCAGTCGAAGAGTGTGACCCTACATGAAAGGTAAAATAAATAACTAAATAAAAAATAAAAAGAGAACTCGCTTAATCAATGCTTTAGCAATCAGCCTAAAGAACAAATAATGGTTGCTCACCGTGGGAGCTGTATCAAACACAATGCGGCTAAATCTACTTAACTCTTGTGACTCCACAAATTGCATAACCTGCAATATTACAGTTAGCCAACATCATGAGAAAAGTTTTAACAAAGCAGTTTATTGCAGATGCCTTTGAAATTGCTATAGCTTCATCTAGACCAGGCGGAGGAGTATCCAACAACTCTGCAAGCTTGAGTTCTCCCAACTGCTCATGAAAACAAAAAGAAAGGAGGAAAAAAAAAAGTAAATTATAGAAGCAAATCTTGTGAGTGTACAAAGCATCAAATGCAGCAACAAAAGTTATTTTCAAGAAGAAAAACAGTCAATAGGGAGAAACTCAAGGCAATGTAATATGAAAATCACTTATAACAAATACCTGTTCTCACCTGGTCAGCAAGCATCCCAAGGCCCATGCCATCCATGAAGCTTTTAACACCTCCTTCACCTTGCAGACTTGCCGATCGAAATTCTTCCCTTGCTTTCTCAGGGCTTACCTTCACCAGCACAAAACAAAGCATAGTCATACGAAACCACTGAAAAATAAAGATTCGAAATTGGTGAAAATGAATAATAGATACCTCTAGTGCATAAAGTGGAGAATCCACACCTTGTAAAGGAACAAGCATCCCTCCACTCAAATCCTAGGTAAAAAGAAATAGACAATGATGACAATCACACAAATGCTAAACCTCTTGTTAATTTTAAAGTAAGAAATATCAAGCACATGCTATTAAGTCTATTACTTGATCAAAAGAATCGCTTAACGAGTGAGCAGGGTCGGTCGAGACCACAATAGTCGGTTGACCGTGGTTTGCGAATTTCACAGCAAGTGATGCGGCACAGCTTGTTTTCCCCACACCTCCTTTCCCTCCCAACATGTAATATTTTCTTTGGGACCCGGAGACCATTTCATTGAATCCAACTACATTTTCCAGGGCCGTGACAAATGATCTCACTGCAAGAACAATAAGAACTATGTAAGAATTTCTAATTTAGTGTTCTAGAGCTCTAATTTCAAAATCACGTGTGTTGAGAACTGGGGAGTGCCATATTGCATCCATTAACAGCTCTTATTTATCTATACCCTGTTCAATTTCTCAAATCTTGTCAGGCAACGACCCACCTCAGGTAATAATAGACGAACTGAGATTACATTATCGATTCCACTGAGGTCGATAAACTTAAAAAACAGTCGATAAACTTAAACAGCCTTACGGACTAAAATGCGTTAAACTATTCAGCAATTACATTCTTATTCATGAACTAGATTTAACAGGGTTTAGCTAGAATACTATAATAATTCATCCAAAGCATCACATTGAAAGAAACACAAAGTAGACAACTAGAAGGTAGTGACAAAGAGAAACAACAAGATACTGCTCATAGAATCTTGCATTGTTAAGGCAACAACAAACAACTAAAACTACAGCAGAGTTAATAAGCATGAAACAAATGCTAGAAGTAAACAGATCAACTAAAACATTGAAAAACTCCGAAAATAGTCGAATGATATTCACAATATTCGAATTTGAACAGATATGTATGCAGTGTGTGTGAAGTTTTTTTTTTGGTACAAAGTGTGTGTGAAGTTTTAAACGAGGGAACAACCTTGTAATGGTGGTCCGAGAAGATTTGGGTTGATACGATTGGAGAGGGAGGTCGATAAACATATTCCATTTTTATTAGCAGATAGTAAATATCGAAACTGGGATTTGGATATTTGACGGAAAAGAGAAGCCATGGGTGATGGAAAGAAAGCACTGAGGAACTAAGGAGGTGGTGGCCAGGAGCTTCAGAGGGAAACGAAGGGCTTCGTTTATGTTTGTATAAGAGATTTTTTTTTAAGCTTATTTTTTTTTTTAACAAACATCAAATTTCCATAAACGAAAACTCAAGAAAGTACATCCGATAAACCGACGGGTTACAATCCAAGACTCCCCTTAAGTAGAGAGATCGGTAAAGAGAGTAAAACAAGCATACTCCCCAACAAGACCAACACTGGCCACAAGCTACAAAACAAAAATACAAAAACATCAAAGAAAAACCAGACTAACAAACAGCACTAGAGAAAGACCAAGAAGCAACCAAGGAGAGTAAGGAATAAATGTTTGCCACCACCATAGATAAACTTGCTTCGAAGGAATCACGGAGTTAAGGCTTGAGCTAAGCTCCTTGTTGAAAGTTTGGATCCAAACTTTGTGCCAATGATGATCTGCTCTATGATAAAGCCAGTCTCTAATCTGGAGAAGCTCAGCTTCCACTGTACAAGAGACTCTGCACCTAGACAACTGCCACTCCTCCACAATCACATTGTTCACCCAAGCAAGCCCCCTAAATCTTAAGGCATCACCAGAGGAAGCATTAGCACTGAGTCTCTTAACCAAGACCACTACTCCTTGCCCCTGCTGGTTTTCCACAGAAGAAGTAGAATCAGAAATTGCACATTCAAACTCCTGCCATTCTCTCATAGCTCCCTCAACTACTTGCTTCTCAGAAGTCCATTCCTGAACAACCACCCATTTCTTGTCCTCCATAGCCACCACAAGATATAGGATGACAAAGTAAGCCTATCCCCGCCAGAACCTTCTACCTTAATAGCACACACCTCCTCCCACCAGGATTTGAAATCCACTTGCTGATCTCTAAGTTTAGACCAAGAAATTCCAGAAATTTCCACACTTTCCTAGCTCTATCACAGAAAAACATCAGATGTTCTAAATTCTCTTTTTCATCCCCACACCAACCATACATCCCATCCACTTGCATACCCCTTCTGCCCAGATTATCAAGTGTACCCAAACAATTGTGAAAACATCTCCACAGAAAATTTTTTACCTTTGCCTTAACTGGGAGTTTCCATGTTGTGGTCCACATTTGTTTTTGTGACATCAAGCCTCTACTGCACTCCCCTTTGCCCACCATGAGATTTCTTTGATTTAGAATTGCAAGGTAAGCACTCTTGACAGTAAAGATGCCTTTCTTATGAGGCTGCCAAATCAATCTGTCCTTCATCACCAATTTGCTGATATGAATTTTAAGGATCTGCTCAGCTTGAAGAGGATTGAATGTCTGCTTCACCAACTCAGTATCCCATCCAAACTTGCCTGCAATCATCAAGTCAGCAACCTTGCACAAGTTTTGAATATCAAATGAAAAGGAGCAAGTGGGTTTGAAATTTGGAGCATTTGGTAACCAGGGAGTTTTCCAAATATCAATAGAGAGACCATTCCCACCAAGAATCTAGCACCTAACCCCAGAGAACCCCTAGCCTAAAGCCACCCTTTCCAAATATACTCAGCTTTTCATTAATTTGTAAATATGTATATAAATAAATTTTGTGAATATATATTTTTACTATTATGTTTTTCACACCATAAGTTAAATTTTTCGCCCTGGAAAAGTAAAAAAGTAAAAGGCAATGTGCATGAATGAATATGCAACAGTTGTGCGATGTACATCAAAATATGCGGTTCATTCGTATAACCTTCACACTTTCTGCGGTGAAAAAATTAAAGTATGAAGATATTGTGCGATGAATATGCGGCAATTATGCAATTTATATGTGACAGTTATATTGTCTATTTGCATTACTTTCGTACTTTCTAGAGTAAAAAAGATATATTATTACCGAGCAGTGTGAAAGAATTACTATATCTTTATACTAGGATGAAAAAAGATTTTGCTGCTAAATATCAACGGAATTCTGTTGGTAAACCATCGAAATTGCAATATGTTTCTTCATAATTGTATTAGCAAGAAAATGTTCCATTGGTAAATACCAACGGAATTGCAAAACATTTGTTCATAATTGTATTAGCATCGATAAACTTTCGTTGCTATTTCCCAACGAACTCATTCCGTTTAAAGATCCAATGGATTGCCACGTCAGTCGAGCAGCGAGACGCGCGAGGCTGGGACGCATGCGAAAGGGCTACCGACGAGGAGCGCACGCGAGCGAATACATATAGTATTGTAGTACGATGACTTTTGAACTAACAAGATATTACATATAATGGATTTATAAATGTTAAAATTAATAGCAAAATAATTATATATATGATTTGATAAAATAACAACATAGTTAATTTATTTAATATTTTATTTAAATATTGTAGAATTGATGATTTTGAACTGGTAGACATGCTTATTTATATTTAAAAATGCAAATTTACTGAGATATTAATGTACGTCTGACCTCGGAACGGTTGAAAATTGGTTTGTCCTTGTCCTCCTGGCCGGTAGAACGTCGAACACCTGTAAGAAGTCCCACACCTGAGGGGTTTTCATGTGAAGAGCCTCTGATGCTTAAGTTAATACAAGCTCTACTCAAATCTCAAGATTATAATGGATAAATCGTGCTGAAATCGTAAAGCTCACCCCTATATATAGGGGTGAGGTACCTGTTTCTAGGAGGCTGTCCGGATGAGATGAAGTGGTTGTCCAGCCTGCCCGGTCGTACAACACACACTGGAGGTGTGTCAGAGACGGTTATGCTATATGGACCAATCAGGTTACGCCACGTGGGGATTTGATTCCTCTAGGATCTCCTCGAAGGCTCTAATGCTCGACAAAATCTATGTTGACCTATTGACTGCTCTGACTGGTAAGCGGTCGATCGGATGACCGTTTATGGCACAGGTCGATCTTCGACCGGACCCTCCATGGGTCTAGGATCGGCCTGCTCTCCAAATGTCGGAATCCCTTTTAAGCTACCTTTCCACTCCAGAGACTTTTGTTCCTGTGATTTTCGACCACGACCACCCTACTTGGATTCTGTTCAACCAGGACAGCTGATTCGGTTTATTCGACCCCCTCATTGGACTGGTTTACTCCTTGAGGTATAGTATCCCATATCAAATATATAAAAACATAAATTACAACTTTAGAGTATCCAAAAAAATTATAAGTCTCACCAAAAAATTGTTGCAGTGAACAACTTAATTAGAAGTATAATATGATCGAGTGTAATCATGATATTTTTTTATAGCTATTGCTCCATTGTTTTAATTTAACCACACAAATCACACTTATTTAATAAATATTAAATTCCTGCGATAAATTATTCATATATACATTAACCTTTTTTCTTCCAGCTAGAGCATGTCGTGAAAGAAGCACACTGAACGGGCGTGCTTCGACCCTATCTCCAATTTCAATATGACTAATGTGTAATAGTTAATAAATATAAGATTTGTAGAATCATGTCTCATACATTCATATAGCGTCATGGCATAAATATCCTTAACATCCAAGAGGTCTTAAAGTTCAAGCTCTATTGTTGGGAGAATTAATAAGAATTGCATATTTTGGTCTACAGTGGGTTCTTATGGCTAGGATTCTCAAGGTGGTCATGTGATTCAAGGTGGGTCATGTGGTTGAACTTGAAAAAATTTTCTGTGTTGGAAAATTTTCCATTGATAATCCGTAGGGAAAAGTATATTGATAATCCATTGGAAACACAGAAAAATTTTCTATTGAAATTCCATAGGGAAAAAAATATTAATAATTCGCTGGAAAAATATCCGTTGGGAAAATTTTCGTCAATAATCTGCAGGTAAGTCCGTCTGTTGGGATTTTGTTAATGAATTGCCTGTTGGTGTTATATACTTAAGCTTTGCGTTAGTGGATATTACACTTGTTATTTCTTGATGAATGAGAATTATGTTTGGTTAAAT